CCTGCGAAGATGCTCTTCCCTCTCTTCATTAGGTGGATCTCATCTCTTCCTAGCAATCCTTCCTCCTGGAACAACATCCCATGGTCGAAGAATCCAAAGCCCAGTCTCCAACACCACCTGCATAACCATGCATTTACCTCCACAATTCGATGGTCCCTACCTGGGCCTCTTCCTTCAACAGGGAGGATGGCGAGAACACAACTTGTGCCTCAAACTCCTTTATCCTTCTTCCCAGAACCATGTAGTCTGCAGTGACCCACTCAAGGTCATTCTTGGCAGTATCATTGGTGCCCACGTGGAGAAGTAAAAAGGGGTAGTGGTCGATGGCTTGATCAGTCTCCCCTAGTTGTACTGAGATGCTAAGGAGAGAGGCAGGATGGCCCAGTGGTTAGGGTAATAGCCTTGGACTCAGCAGATCTGCGTCCTGTGTGTCCTTGGGCAAGCTGCTCTGTGCCTCAATGCCTCAATTCCTCATCTGTACAATGGGGATACTAGCACTTATGGGGTGCTGTGGGGATAAATATGTTAAAAGATAGTCAGTTGCTCAGAAACTATGATAACGGGGCCAAGCAAGTACCTAAAATAGACAGGTTATAGAATTATTTTTAGTGAACTAGCTGCTGCCCCTACTGGATAGAATCAGAACTACTCAACTGTGTGCCTGAGCCCCTATACTACTTGGTGATTCACCTTTAGAACAAGTGGTAAGGGGCTGTGCTTTTGAAGCAGGGAACTCTGAGTTCTGTCCCTGTTGCCACAGTGAAGAGTTTTGAGTAGCCTGGGCAGGATAGTGACAGAGGATGTGGGTTTGGTATAGCATAAGCGCTAAGTATTTATTATTACTGTTGTTGTTGATGATGATGATAATGCCATTATAAGGTACTGTTAATTTAAATGTAAGGTGTGCAGGTGTTTAGGGACAGGCAGTATTATAAATAAAATATTTCACAGAAAGTCATAGTGCAGTGATTAGTTATTGAAAAATATAACACCATTAAATAATACAGAATAATACAAAGGGTTACAGATACTAAGTGCCAGATTTTTAAAGTTTCAGCACCCACAATTGGGACGCCCATGTGGCTCCCATCTAGGCACCTAAATAAAGGCCAGATTTGCAAATGAGCCCACCAGTCAATGTGCACTCAGCATGCTGAACTCTTTTGAATACACAGCTCTCTTTAATTCAGCTGCAGCGTAGCAAAGGAGAGGAATAAAGGGGGGTAGGTGGGGACCAACGGCATGTTTCAGCAGAGATTGTAAATGAGCTGGAGCGACACGAGGAGGGTGTTCAAGACACAGGGCACTGCGGAGGAGAAGGCTCTTGCACCAGTACTGCAGTGGCGAGGAAGTGAGGAGGCAGGAATGCATACCTCTCTGCTAAGGGCTGGATAGCTCCCAAGTATTGGTAGAGTGGATCCAAGGGAATGATGGGATTCCATGGGGAAAACCTCACCTGTAGACTAGAAGCTCTTCACTTCCTCCCCCACAAGCATGATCTAAGCATGTTAATCTAAGGGGAGCTCAGCATGGTGCTACTTTAACAGTTGGCAGCATAGGTTTCATGTGGCATGGGTTGAGAGCATGTGGCACGCAGCCTTAGGGACATGCAGTGCTTGGGCAGAGTCCACAACCAGTTACATTTACTGCCATCATTTAAAATGGTGCATCTGACATTTCAGAGTGGGGGTTGAGGTGCCTTTGGTTTCCCTCGCCGCTCCAGAAACCTACTGTCTACGATTCCTCATTCAAAAGGGTTGCAAAAATACACACACATGCCCCGGGCGTAAACACCAGGGGATTACATGCCACAGAGTGTCGGGACTGGGAACTCCAGGACTTGGCCTGCAGTTCCCTGCAACTCTAGTTTTAACTTGCTCCCATGTGCACCCTCTGCTCCCAGGTACCAGAATCATGCCAGCCCCAGCCGCCCTTCTCTCATTAGGAGTGAAGCAGTGAGGTCTCTCTGCTGTCTCTTTCAGCTTCTTTTCCGTGGTCATTCAAATGAATTACACAAGCCTGCATCCCACAAAGGATGCCTGACCCTGCTTTTCCATTTAGAGCCAATCATCTAAATTCCAGCCACCCAGCCAGGAGCTGTCTCCCTACTGAGGCCGAAGGACCCACTGCAAAAAACAATGCGTGTTCCACTCAAAGAATCCCACAGGCCATTTCAAGTTCTCAGCCCTCTTCTCCTTCCATTGATTTGCATCTGAGGGGTTTGTGAGGCTGGGTACAGGCCGGGCCTGGGTGTTCCAGGACCCTATTGGAAATCAGATGTGCAAGATCCACCCCATTGTGGCCTGCTCTGTAGGCAGGTTGGGTGAGAGTGTGGGGGAATGCTGGATTCCTAGTGCCTTAGATGCCTCAGTTTCTCCATCTGTAAAATGGGGATAATTTCACTGGCCTGCTTTGTAAAGCTCCACAGATGAAAAGTGCTGTGTAAGAGTGAAGTGTTGTTATGCTGTAGCTGTATAAATAGGATAGACTAAGCCAAAGGCCACCAATAGACAGGGCTGGTAATGGAGGCGGTGTGGTCTAGTGGCTAGGCCAATGGGCTAGGACTCAGGAGACTTGTACTCTAGTCTTGGTTCTGACCCTGCCCAAGTGGCTTTTATCTCTGTTTCTGCTCCTAGCCTTTGTCTAGCTGGTCTGTTTAAAGTGCAAGTTCTTTGGGGCCGGGATTGTCTGTTACTAGGTGTTTGTACAGAACCTGGTACATTGGGGCCGTTTGGTGCTACTGTGATTACATGCTAAGCGGGTGCTCCTTGGGAACGCGCTGAGTGGGAAGGAGCCCTGTCTCAGAAGCTAGCTGCTGCCAGTGATAAATGGGGTGTGGTTCTGCTGTTTAACAGGGCTCATGCATGTGCCATGATTCCAGGGACTTAGCCTGGCTGTGCTAACCCACCAAGAAGCAGACTGCAAGGTTGTGCAAAGCAGCTTGATCCCGCAAGGTGCTGAGTGCCTCCTGGGAGCACCCTCAACCCTCACGGCAAGGCCCACACGTGCAGGACGGTGGGAAACGTTCCGGTGCCTCCTGGGGCTGTTTCTCTAATCTCCTCCAAATGCTCCGTGCACAGCAAGGGAAGGTTAGCAAGGGAGGCATGTTGGGAATGGGATTAGCTGTTTGGACACCGCAGCATTAAACAATACTATGAAATTCCAGGACCCCGAACCACTTGGGCACCTGAGGCAGAGCCCCATTGACCCGCACGTTAATCCAGTCCTGACGCTGCCAACCTGTTTGGCATCAGAGGGCCACAGTTCAGACCCATCATTTCACAATGGGGCTTCTTGCCTAGCATCCCAGGTCCAGAATAGAGCGGTTGGGCTATGCTTGGCTGGGAGACCTCTGGTCCTGCCGCAGGTGGAGTCATGGACTGGTAGGTGATGCTCTCCTCTGCTGAGTCAGTACGGCCCCAGAGTGCTGTGCTGCTGCGTTTCCAAGAAGACACACAGACAGATATTTTCTAGAGTGTCTCGGCGCCTCTCACCTGTGGATTTCACTGGGAGTTAGGCACCTAGGCGCCCTTGGAAAAAAATTGGCACCTATCTGCATCTTAGGCACCTAAATCCCTTTAAAAACCTGACCTCGAGCCCCCTGGGATCCAGCTGGCAGGAAGGTGCCCTAGAAAGATGAGATCATTATCACAAGCCACTGCACATGTGACCCAACCAGCGCTGCGTCCGGCAAAATCAAAAGGCCTTGCCGAAAGAGGCCCGCTGCCCATGCTTCCCCCCGAGTGTTGGTGAGAGTGACGCTGACTAGCAAGTCTGCTCCCCTGACTCTGGTTTGATGGAGTAAGCTCTTAAGGAGGCAGCGGGATACAGGAGCTGTCAGCACTCATTGAGCGGCTGGGGAAGCCAAGGGACTGTGAGCTCCATTGTTCAGTGGGAACGCTGGCCCGCCACGGCACCCTCAGCCTTTCCGATTTGAAAAACATCACTTTTTCCTTTTTAAAGCTTGCTTTTTTTTTCTGGGGGATTTATTGTCCAATCTCTAATATCCTGAACAGGGACTTCCTGATACCATGTTCTCTCAGTTGGCAGGCAGACTTCAGGGGCTGATGGGAGTACAGCAGGGGATCCTGAGCTGTTAACATTTGATCAGGGATTTTTTTTTCCTCTGGGGAGGGAAAGGAGCATCTGTGAACCCCACCCATGTGCCAGAAGCTCTGCACAGGATAACTCTGTTGGGCACTAAGGGCATGACCTTGCATCAATTAAGCCAGTTGGAAGTTTGTTGTTGACTTCGGAGTGCGCAGGATCTGAAGCTCTGAGATCTGGGAGGGGAGAAGGGTCAGAGGAGGTGGGCACTAGGTCCTGCTTCAACTGTGCTCTCATCCTAGAAACCACTACCAGAGCTCACCTCCCTGGCACAGCAGGGCAGCAGACTTAGGGCCTGAGCCTGCCCTCCTGACTTCAACCGGAGGATGAGCCAGGCCTTCCCACTGCTTATTGTGGGCCTTAAGGGCTTGATTCACCACTCTGTTATTTCACTTTTACATCAGCGTAGCTCCATGGAAATCATTGGTCTTCAGACATGGAGTAACCTAGCAAGGAATCAGGAATTCCATCGGGGCCCTATCCTACCAAGTCCTGTGTGCTATTGGCTTCCTCTTCAGTCAGGAGGAGGTCCATGGGGAGGCAGTTAGGGTGAAAGGTTGGAACAGAGGGCTGAGAACCAACTTCAGGATTCTGATTCTACCACTGTGTGACTTTGGGTAAGTCATGTCACCCAGTTCCTCAGTTTACCCTCCCATATAATAGCACCTGGGGAGGTGCATTTACAAATGTGAATAAATAAAATGACACTAATGATGCCTCACCTCCTTCCAAGGCATGTTGCGAGCATGAAGGTTTGCAAAGCTGTTAGATCCTCAGTTGAAAGGTGCTATGAAAGTGCAAAGTGTTATTAATATCCTGTACCTTGCCTCTAATAGAGTCTGCATTCATTCTGGGGAATTTCTGGATATAAACCAGACAGCTGCAGAATGACATTTCTTGAAAACATCTATGATTTATTTTGTGCTCTTTAATTCCATTTTGTATTGAATACACGTTTGTCACAGGGCTGCTGTTCAAATGGGCCTTTTAAGTCTAAACCAGACCTAGGGCAGGCGTAATTTACTTCAGCAGGCGTAAACTGGCCTAGCTTAGCTGAAGTCAATTGCTGATTTACACCAGAAGAGGACCTGGCCTCGTATTTTTAAATTGAAACTCTGTAGCTTGGAGCATTTGAGTGTGAAAATTGAGCCACTTTACGACAGATAACGACTCTTTGCATAACTAACCGTCTGGCCAGAGTTCTGTAGAATCTCTTCGAGCCACTGGGCGTCAGATCCTGGGAACAATATTGTTTTTGCAGAAACCCGAGTCTCTGGATGGGTTCCCTGGCTCTGCCTTTTCCATTTTGTTTTAAACACGTTCAGCTTTAGAGTCTGGGACTAGAAGCTGGCCGGGCTGCTGTGGTTCGTTCACATTGCACAACTTTTTGAGAAGGAAAAAAAAAACGTTGGCAGATTTGATTGTTTTGTTTTTTGAGAGAGGTGGAAACTTGCACTGCTTAAGAGAGAGCACAAGTGAGCTGTTTTCCACAGCAAAACCTGCATGACTGGCTGTCGTGCTGAAACTCTCTCACCCCTTGTGCCACACAATGGAGGAACTATTTATTAACCTTATTCAACCCCCTTCCCAATAGCATTGAAGGGGCTTATGGGGTATTAATTCTCACAACCCACCCCGAGAGGCAGAGAAGTATCTTATCCCCATTTTGTAGATGGGGAACCGAGACAAAGGGAGACTAAGTAATTTGCCCAAGGTCACACAGGAGGAGAGAGGGGGGAATTGAACTGGGTTTTCTGACCACTACTGTAATCATAACACCACCCTTGCACTCCCAAATCAGCTGCCTTGAAAAAAGGGTGCAAAGAAACCAGCACAGGGACCTTTAAAATGATTAATGACTTTAACGTCATTCTGGGCACTCTCCGCCCAAGAGCAGATCCTGAGCAGGTGTAAATCAACCTCATTCGGTAGAAGTCAATGCAGCTATGCCAATTTACACCTGCTGAGAATCTGGCCCTCTGTGTCTTGATCCAGTATTTTTGATCGCAAGAGTGAGCACGGATTTGCAGTTAAAGCGTTGGAATGGCAAGCAGGAGATGTGGGCTACACTCTGGATCTACGTGACCATGGGCAGGTCACATTCATAGAATCATGGAATATTAGGGTTGGAAGAGACCTCAGGAGGTCATCTAGTCCAACCCCCTGCTCAAAGCAGGACCAATTCCCAACTAAATCATCCATTGCTGCTCCATACCTCAGTTTCCCCATCTGTAGAATGTGGCTAATCATCCAGGCCACCGCTATGGAGTGCCTGGGATCTTTAGACGCAAAATGTTCTACTGTTATCTTTTCTTTTTTGTTGTGTTGATTCACGGTGGATCAGCCAGTCATGTCGTGTGCATTGGCAAGGTTCTGCTTTCGGCCCCTAACCCAATCTAGAAATGATGCTGTAGCTCATGGGATCTGAAGGTGGCAAGTTGCGAGCTGAACCAGAAAAGTTGAAAGAAACTTAAAACTTCTCTGGACGCATCTCAGAAACACCTCCCTTCCTTCTTTAACTGGAGCTGGGCCCACCCACTGCAGTGCCACTCTGCCGTCTTCCTGTCGCAGTTTTAGTGGAACTCCCGGGCCTTAGCTTGTTGGCAAATGATGCCAAAAGCCTAGAGTTAATATGCAGTTTTATGTACCTGCCAAGGATTATCAAAGGGGAGGAATGAAAGTCACTGGCTGGCTACCAAGGATGGGGAAGAAGAAGCCATTTGGTTACAAGGGGAATGGGCTACAATTTAAGCCTTATCTATTGTGCTCTGATTTCAACCACTACCATACTGACACTGGTGCAAGCCCCTAGTGTAGACAGCACAAGGTGCAATTTCCACCAATGGTTTCAAGCAGGGGAAAACTCCACTGGTACATATATAGCAGCTTTGCTTGTTTACCCCAATGGCTCTTAGCCGGGTAGAAAGGTTCACTTGGCCAAATGCAGCTGGGAACCAGTCCCCAGCACTGCCGCTGGAAGAACAAGAAACCCAGACTGGGCTCTGTCCTTGAGAGATGTCTTGTCGGATTCTTAATGCACAGTGGGTTGTTTTTAAGTCTGACCTATTTGCAGCAGGGATTGTGGTTTCTATTACAAACAACAGTAAAATAAAAATAAAAACGGACAAATTAAATGAGCTCCTTTTCCCCCTTTTCTCTCTCTTCCCTCTGCTCTCCTCCACACTCCCTCTTTCTGTTTTTCTTTTCATGCCAATAACTAATTTAAAAAACTGAAGAGGCTTTTGCAGAGCCAGATGGACTGGGCGAGTGCACGTGGATTTTTCCACAAGGAGATTCGCTCCGGTCTCCTTGCTCTTCTCCAGCCCCAAACGATGAGAATGGACAAGGGCATGAGCAGCGCCACTTCCTGGCTCTTATTCACTCGAGGGGTTGCGGAAGGAGTTGGGGGGCAGCAGTTCATCTGTTGAAGTGCTTTCTGATGAGGATGATGGTTATTTTTAATGTTGCGGGTTAGCGTGGTTTTTATGGTTTCTTTGTTGTCCACAAGGAGACTTTGGAATCCTTTTTGGTTTAAAGCCCTGGCTTGATTCATGTTGAATAACCTAATGGCTCGTCCCTTCACTACCTCTAAGTCTGGTCCTTGAGTGGTTTTTCTGTCCAGCCACTCCAGGACAAGAGTGAGAAGATGGGCTGGGGAAAACGTGGATTGTGAACTGTTCAGCAATAACAATAAAAAAACCTAGGGATTTCAAATGCAGGATTCCGATGACACATCTTTGCCCCAAGCCAATCCTCACCCACCAGTGTTGCTTGTTGTGAAATCAGAGCCCATTGTTTTTCCCCCTTTCTCTAACACAGTGCTTTGCCGCACCCTTCCAGGGCCCCTTCAATGTCCTTGGAAGGTTTCCTGCAGCTTCCAAATCAGTCATGGGCCAGATCCTCACTTGATGTCAATCGGCATGGAGCTTCGCTGATTGACACCTACTGTGGATCTGGACCCATAACTCAAGGCTGCCCATGATCCACAGTGGTCAGAGACAGAAAAAACTTGCTGTGGTCACCATTCAGTGTTAGCAAGGTTCTTTCTTCTAAGTGTGAGGAAATAACTGTGGCATCTCAGATACTCCGTGCAATAATAAGTGCTGGGAAATGTTGACTTTTTAATGGCAGCTACTCTACCAAGTCATCTTGTACCTCTCCCTGCAGAAACCTAGATTTTCCAGGGCTTTACCCAGGTCAGCTGTTAAAGTGCATGGGCTTCCACCCTTCCCCTTAGGAGCCCAGTACAGCTCCCCATCAGGATGTTTTTCATGATCTCCATTGTGAACTTTCCTTTCCGTCCAACCTCTCCTAAACCATGAACAGTTCCTCTGTTTCCTGGATATTTACCAGTTCTTAAGGCAGGCTCCTTGGGATCCATGTACGGTAACCAGATGTCCCAATTTCATAGGGACAGTCCCAATATTTGGGGCTTTTTCTTATATAGGTGCCAATTACCCCCCACCCTCAGTCCTGATTTTTCACGCTTGCTATCTGGTCACCCTAGAGCCATACCACACAATCACAGGGCAGACAGAAGAAGCAGCGAGGCAGAAGAGCAGGCGGCTGTGCAAGGCACACCTGATTGCAGCCTCGCGATGGGCCAGGAGGATGAGCAAGGGCTCTGGAGTGGAAAGAAGGCACAGATATTTGGGAGTATTGGGGGCAGCTGAGAGGCAGATTCTGACTAGACAGAAATTCAAATTTTGTTGGGTTCAGTTTACATTTAGCCTCAGTCCACCCCATCTATTCCCATGGGACCAGATGGTGCCTGACACTAGCACGGGTGTACAAAACGGGGTGGAGGGCACTAAGCGCTTTTGTTTTCCTCTCTGCCCTCCATTGCCAACTTGTGCCCCCCGCAGGAGTCAAGCACAGGCCCGGTCCATACTACCACCACCTGTGCAGGGAGGAGATGGAGGCCCAGGCCTCACCCCTGCTCCCACCCTCTGCCAGCCACCCCTTGCACAATGTCTTTCGAAGCTCCACCTGTCCCATGCCATGTCTTATTATTTAACATTCATATTGTGGCAGTGCCTACAGGTCAGAGAGGTCAGAGTCCCATTGTGCCAGGCACTGTACAGACAGATCAAAAATGACAGGCCCTGCCCCAAGGCCCTTGCACTATAATGGACAATACATAACAGGTGGCTGAAACACATATGTAGGCCAGGGCATGGAAACAAAGTAACTAAAGCGTGTGTGAAATTTCCTAAGCAATAATCACAACTAGCCACTTGTCTAGCCTTCCTGGCGCAGTCTGAACTCAACTCCTCCTTCATTTGTCATTAGATCCTTCCTATGATGCGGTCAGGAGAGCCGGATGGGGCAATAACATGAACTCCAGCCTCACCAAAAGTAAGTAGCCATGTTGGGGTGGCAAATTCTGATGCAGAGGATCGAAACATGGTCATGAGTTGGGCAAGGTTTGGTTTGCTTGTTGTACAGGCATCAGAATGAGTAAGGATCCAGGCCCTATTAACTTCCAGTCTCTTGTGAGACTTAATTCATTGGAGCCATCCTTACGTTGGGCCAGATTCTGATACAATTAATCATGATGAATAACGCCGTACTCCAATACCTTACTACTGCTCAAAGAAGAAAGGTGCCACTCACCATGAGAAAGAGTAGCAAATACTGGCCCTTAATATTTGTAAAGCACATTGAAGTCATCATATGGATGATCCTATAGACATGCACATTATTCTAGTTGTTAATTATTTTCATAATTCATATCATTTTGCAATACTACAGGGTGGGGCCGGATTTCCTGCTGCCCCCAAATGGTAAGTTTATGCCCTGAAGGAGGTGGATTGCTAGCCCATGCGATTTTTATCTTAGCTAGTATAACTGTTTGTCACTGGGGCATATTCTGCTCTTCTTTCACTGGTGTCACATGTCCTGGGGCCACAAGTTGTCCCTGAGCAAGATATTACTCAGCTGGGGTAAGGCTGGCAGAATTTGGCCCTAAATCAGTACTTTCTGTTTAGGAGCTTTATGGAAAATGCTCACTCAGAATGGGAAGACCATCCTTTGTTTTATAGCATTATCTCTGTTATCAGTGAGGATCTGAATGTGTGGAGCAGATGCTAGGGCTAAGGTTGAACTGATTTGTAGTGCTGGTCGGGAATTATTTGACCAAACTTTTTTTTTTCTTCAGAAAATGTTGATTTTCCAAAACCAAAATTGTTCATGGGAAAGGCTCATTTGGCGAATTTCCCGTTTCAAAAAAAATTCCAGAAAAAAGTTGAGAAATCGTTGACATCCCATTTTGCCCTTTTCGAAACAAAAAATTCCATTTTTCAATTTGAAGCAACCGTTGGTTTCAAAATTTAGGTTAACTGAGAGTAAAAAAGAATCTCAAAAGGTCAAAATGATCAAAATGAAGCATTTAGTTGGACCTGATTCAAAATTATTTAAAATGTTTCCATTGATGAAAATTGTGATTTTGACTTTTCATCCCTGTTCATCAGGGTAATAGATATGTATGAAAATTCAACAATTCCCATATGACCACAAAACTGTTTCCTGCCGATCTCCACTGGCTTGGTCATGTTCATGTATACACTGTATCCATCTTGTTCCCTATTTGTTCCCTCTCCTCTGCTTGCAGTACATCTAAGATCTCACTTTTCCTGTTATTACAGGTCCCCCGGTTGCAGGGACTCAAACTGTGAATAAGAATACAGAACAGCAACGGCCCCAACCAGGTAAATGTGTCCAGTGTGTGCTCGGCTGTATCCCATAAACTTCATTTCCCAACCTGGTATTGTAATGTTTCAAGCAAGGACAGTCTTAGGCACAAGTTAAGAGGGCTCAAACACTTATAATACTCGGTCAACTCTGTTCATCCACCAACAAGGCTTATCCAAAACCCCTTTCTTTTGGCTGCTTATTGACGCCCCTCCCCCCATTTAAAAGAGATGTCCCTGTATCAGCTTTGTCATGTGCAGTGTCCAAAATCCTTAGTGCCAGCTGCTTTGGTATCTCCTTTGACATCCCACAGCAGGCAGTGTAAAGGATTCTGAAACAGCTAGTCAACGGAGCTGCTTCTGCCACTGTGGTGAAGGGTCTACGGGCTGGATTCTAACCTCCCTGACACCAATATAAATTGGGAGCATCTCCAACAAAGTCGACAGAGGTACACCACTATCAAAGCACCGTAAATAAGAGAATCAAGTCCTATCAGGCTTCAAGCAGTGATACGTCTTGCTTGGGTTTCCCAACGGGTTGGGTTTCCCAACTAAATGACGCCCTCTCAGTGTTCTGCACAGCTTCTTTGTAGCTTTCTTTGTTAGGGTGTAAAGTCAGCCATGAGCCAACACCAAAATCCAAGGGACAATGAAGGGAAGTAGAGAGATTACAGCAGTGGGGCCCCAGGAAAAGGGGGGAGATTCATTCCTAATAAACACATGATGGAATTTCTAAAAAGCATTCAGCAGGAGCCTCATTCTGTTTCCGTTAGCATCTGCAGTAAAACACCCATTGACTTTAGTCAGAGCTGAGTTGGACCAATCTTCCATTGACTTCATTGGGAGCAGAGCTGAGCCAATATGGAGTGTTTTTGAAAATCCCACCTGCACACAAGAAGAGGAAATAATCAGCTCAACTAGAAAATGAAGCACGTTTAAGCAAGTGGCCCAACTGCTCACATTAAAGCAAATGTATTTGCTCTGATCCAGTCGTGTTGTGCCGGCCTGATGCTATGTTTTCATGCAGCCAACTGCGGTGGCTGGTGCTGTGGCATGTGTCCAGTGGGGATTTTGATCTTAAAAAGTGGGATACTCTATGAAAACAGTGCAGCAGCCACTAGGTTATTAAATCCTCCCTAAGTAATGTGCATCTGTTCATTAAACAACATAAGAGGCCAATGGGACTGATTTGTGGGAGGGGAGTGGCAATGTAAAAAAGGAAGGAAAATGGATATCTGGATTATTCTGGTTAAGAAAAATAGAGAAGTGCTTTGTTTCTTTTTGTGCAGCAGAATAAAGAAAAGATTTCTTGTCTCTTTGTTTAGATCCCTATCAAATTCTGGGACCCACCAGCAGCCGCTTAGCCAACCCAGGTGAGTTCAGTTTGGGACATCAGACCACTATCTTAAAAGCAAATCCCAACTCCTGTTTAAAGGGCCAACTCTCTCATGTGCCACTGCTCCAGACTCGACTGATCATAGCTTTTGTCCCTCTGCTGCTTGTGTAGAGTATATGGGCCATTGGATTGAATAGGAGTGGATTCCACATCTGTCCTTACCACTGCCCTCTGTGCTGGTCATGGCAGCTGGTGTGGAGAACTATGCAAGAGTAAAACTGGGTGGATAGGGCCAAATAGTCTTTGTTTGAATACAAACAATTAAGTCACTTCTTCGGTATTGGACACTGCATGAAGTTGCTCACCACAAGCATTCTACCCTTCTCCCTCAAAGCAGCTAACCAGATTTGAACCCAGGAACTTTAATACTACGCCACAGAGTAGAAGTCCTAAATTGCTTAAGCTCTTAGCTAGCTTCTGTGGACACCATTTGCAGGCTTGCTATGTTTACACAATGACTCCCTAATCAAGTCATCTACAGACCTCTGGTAATAGGAGCAAGATCATGAGCATCTCTTGCTTGAGCTAACAGACAAGGTTGATTAGCATCGAGGCTGTTGCAATCTCGTAAACCTCTTTACATGGCCCAGCCACAAGAGGGGGACAAAGACCCACCTTGGCATTAATGTGGGTTACATTTGCACAAGCACGTGTTCTGTTCGCAGAGGGAGAAGGTGTTGAATGCTCATGCGAAAATGGATTCTCATGAGCCTCCTTACAGGAAGTGTTAGTACGGCCATCTTGAAATAGTCTACGAGTCATCCAGTCTGAGAGAAGAAATAATACTGTGATTTAGGTGATCAGCCACAAGGCTGCACATGGCAAATTATGAACTGCAGGTATTTGCAGCAATAGTTATGAAAATAGTTAGTGAGCAAAGCAAGGTCGAAATACGCTTATGTCAGCTATTCAGTGAATAATTCTGAATAATGACCATGTTCATAAAAAGCCCATTTATGAATGCTTTGAAGATTTGTCGATTTTAATGCCAGAGGGGACCATTCTGATCAGCTAGTCTGACCTCAAACAGAAGAAGAGGCTGAGTGACTTGTTTTCTGGGAATAGGTGGGCTGGCCCTCCACAAGAGTTTGTAAGGCTTGAAGGAAACTTTCCCATCAAAGATTGAGATAGTCCCTCTGTTTCCTGTCTTTGTCTTTTCGTTTAAGCAGGAAATGGAATGTCATTTCCTTTTCTCTTTGGCTCGCTTCATGCAGGGAGTGGGCAGATCCAGCTGTGGCAGTTCCTCCTTGAGTTGCTGTCGGACAGTTCCAATGCCAACTGCATCACGTGGGAGGGGACCAATGGGGAGTTCAAGATGACAGACCCTGACGAGGTGGCCAGGCGCTGGGGAGAGCGCAAGAGTAAGCCCAACATGAATTACGACAAGCTGAGCCGAGCCCTTCGATACTACTACGATAAGAACATTATGACCAAAGTGCACGGCAAAAGGTATGCCTACAAATTTGACTTTCACGGCATTGCCCAGGCTCTCCAGCCTCATCCAACTGAGTCTTCAATGTACAAGTATCCATCAGATCTTTCCTATATGCCTTCTTACCATGCCCACCAACAGAAGGTGAACTTTGTGCCCCCCCATGCTTCCTCCATGCCTGTCACATCATCCAGTTTCTTCGGAGCAGCAGCATCCTATTGGACCTCCCCTACGGGCAGCATCTACCCAAACCCCAATGTCCCGCGTCATCCCAACACTCATGTACCATCGCACTTGGGCAGCTACTACTAGATGTTTTTACCTTCAGTGGCCTTTATCAATCTGGTTGGATGCTCTCTTTACTTCTGGGATTTTTTGGACCTTTTTTGGATATTTTGTGGGCCATTGTTGCGGGGGGAATTAAAAACTGGATATTAGTTATTCTTGGATCAAACCTTCTCTCTCTTTTTTTTTTTTTTTTGTAATTTTGCCTCTTCTATCTTGAAATGAGAGATGGATACCTCTGCAGGCCAGTACTCTGTGTTTTTATTTTGGTTCTAAGTCTTATGTCCTCTGTAGGAATTGTCCATGAAGATTGCTCACCACAACCTGGAATGATTATCAGCATTTGAATTTTTACGAGACAAGAGAAAAAAAATTAGCAGTCCTAAGGGTCTTAACAAGACATATATCCAGCCGTGGGTCTTAGAAGAATGCTATGTTTGTTTAACGGGGACTTAGGACTACATGTGTGTTTTTGGCAGGAGGGTTTCTGATTTCGAGGAGGGGATGGAAGAGTCAGATATTATGTTGTGAGGATCTGGGGCAGCAGAGGATGGCAACTGGAATCTTAGCTTTAATTAAGGCCAATGAGGTTTTTCACCCAACTGGAAATTTTATATATATAAAGAAGTAAAGGGCATTGAAGGAACCTTTCTAGAGTGTGCAACTTGTGTTGGACTGTATATTAACTCCAGAAACATCTGAGACCAGAACAAAAGAAAGTAACCTAACATCAAGCACAGACATTCCTTGAGAGCAAAAATGAAATAAACGACAGCAGATCCTGGAGAGCTCTGCCAAAGCTTTTGGGATCGCTAAGCGCTACCGATTCGCGAACGCTGTGCGTTTGTCAGACCGTCATTCTAAGGGTCAGCTAATCAGAAGGCTACTTACTGTATAAGTTATGCAGAGTTATTTTTTCCCTATATCTCACAATATTAAAAGAAAGATGAAATAAAACGAGTTGACCTCAGTCACAAATGCAGGTTATTTTTACTACCAGATCAGTTGTTTGTTGGTTTTTATGTTGTTGTTTGTCTTGTTTGGTTTTTTTTAAATGTAATTTGTACATCTTTTCAATCTGTACATTTGGGCTGTAGCTTTGTACTTTTTGCGAAAAAAATTAAAATGAAAAAAAGATACACGTAAAGTATCTGGTGGGAATAGAGCCCTGATTCCACAACCGGATCCAGGCAGATTTCTTTCCTATACTAATGTGCAACACATCTGAGCTCATTGGGAGTGTCTAAAGCACAGTTTTTGTGCTCCTGTTTTAGCTTGAGTTCGTTGATGCTAATTAACTCAAGTCAGCCAACATGTTTGTATTCAAGCTAGTTGAAAAAAAGGATCAACATTTTCCAAATTTTTCACGACAATTTTCCATCAAAACTGAGTTTTTCAAACATTTTGATAATTCTATAAAGCTGGATGAAAATCAGCAAACATTCTCCCCCCCCCAAAAAAAAAATTTGAAAAGCTTTTGCAGAACATTTTTATCAAACATTTGAAAAATTTCAACTACCTCTAATTTGCGAAGCTAGTCTTGATGATCCAGGAATGTTTATTTCAGGACAGAAACATGAAGGTCTTGGAACAAATGTTTATAGAGGTCTTAGATTGGTACTTACAAGCTTATTAGCTAATTTGGAATTAATTGACAATCATTTAACAGGAGCAAAAATATCTAGTGTAGACATAACCTCTGAATGTCTGTGTCAGTGCAAGGTTTAGTCCACGTGTATTTGCTTGCAGAATTGGGACCTTAAAACAGAACATTATAGTTTGGTCATAACTTTAAACAGAAGCACTGATGCCATTATTTAACAAAAGAGGAAAACAAGATCAAGCTAATCAGTTTAGGTCTTAGTGCTTTTGGAATGTTTATAGGTAACATTACTGCAATAATCGCAAAAAAAATAAAAAAATTATTAAAAAAATTTCCCCATGGAAATGGGCTTTTGCTACTATATATATGCAATGTATTTTTGGATATTAAAATATATATAATTTTGCAAGTAATCTTTGTGGGTTTTTTTAAAAAAATGTATTAAATGTTACGCTGACAACTGTTGTATGAGGATTATGATGTAAAAAAATGTGAGAAAATAAATGGCTGTTTTCTTCTCTAAGACATCATATTGTTACACTTTTTTTCCCAACCTCACAGCAAAACCATGAACTTCCAGGCTAAACGATATTTATTTTAGATGCAGAGAAAGAAACTAAGAGCAAAGTAAATAATACTTTGCCTTTGTATACCACTATTCATCAATAGATTTCAAAGCGCTTGACAAAGGAGGCAAGTATCATTCATTATCCCCATCTTACAAATAGGGAAACTGAGGTACAGGGAAGTGCAGTGACTTGCCCAATGTTACCCAGCAGGCAAGCAGAAGAACCCAGGTGTCCTGAGTTCTAGACCAGTGCTTCCATCACTAGAACACACTTCTCTAATGGCTACCCTATTGGTTTAGACTATGCCTACTCCTTGTGTTACAGTCATTATTGAGGGTATAGACTTACCTTTGATTGTCCAACCTTTGGGGTTTTTTAACAAATTATTAATGGAGACTCTCCATGTATTTTCCCCCCTCCACACACAAACCATCACAAACAAGTTTCCAGTCCAATAATCTTCACGTGCTTGATTAATGAAGATTCACTCTGAACAGTGACTCTAAAAATGGCATCTTCTTACCCAAGAGATCTGTTCCCTGGGTGTATTCTACTGGACCTGCTGATTTTAGTTACAAACATAAGTGTTTCCTTGTTTAACTGTTTGTTAAATACAGCTATGATAGAGCGAGCTGTGTTCTATTCCAACTGTGCCCCACCAATAGAACTGCTGAGTAGTTTCCAGAGGCAGGCATTTGCTTTCACAGGTGTCAGTGGTGGCAAAATGTGAAGACCATGAGTTTGCACACATGTCGTTTGGAGCAGAATCGCAGAGCAGTAAGGGTATACAGGTGTCACCGAGAGCAAAATTTGCCCTGCAGAATCCTTGGCCAAAATGTTCAAAAGTGAGTCGTGACTTAGGGAACACCAGTTTTTATCTTAAACCTTCTGAAATGGAGGTGTCTCAAGTTGGCCACTGCAAAATGGAACCACTTCAGATCATTGGTCAGGCTCCAAACTCTTGGAATTGATAACTAGAGATGCCATACAAGCCACTAGTGGCTCACCTTGACTCCCAGGCTGAATTTGCGGGATTGAAGTTCTGAGGGAAAACCCATTTTTTTAACGTGTAAACAGAGCATGTTTGCACTGGGAGTGATTGAGAGAATATAAACATGGAGTCTAATGGTACTAATTCTACAGTTGCTTTTCTGAGGAGAATAGAGCAGATGGGAGCTGAGGTACAGCAGGATTATGTCAGAAAGTTTTATAAAAAGAATGGTTTACAACTCGTGAATATGAGGTTTTTTTTGTGGACAGGGCAGCAGGGAAATGATTTGCTCTGCATTAATGTTCAGAATTCAAAGCGAATTGGTGAAATCACATCTACACCGAGTCCCATGGGAGTTTTGCCATTGACTGCAACAGAGCCAGGATTTTTATCCACTGGGTCTATTCGGCTACCGAAAGTAGCTAGGCTCAAGTAGTGTTAAGAGTCTGACTTCAGTGGACATATAAAGCCCTGTGGCTCTCTGCTGACAGCTGTTGGTGAGCAAGGGACCAAGTGGGCCAGGCCTCATTTGCATTTCAGTTACATGACTGTTTGGGACATTCTGGCATGTAGAGTTTGGAGGCAATAAAATACTATTGTCCCAGTTGGGAAATGAAGGAGAAAAGGTCTGTACCATATAGGCTGGGGGTGAAGGGTCACCTAGTAATGAGGCACAGTTGGGTAAGGAAGCTTAGGCAGCAATGGGGAGAGATGGATGACATTCTAATATTTGTGAGGAGTTTATTTCTGCCGGGAAGGACTTTGCAAAGGGTCCCATATCCTGCTGATGACTCATTAAACGGCTGCATTAGGACAGTTTCAAGGCAGTGAACTGAAGCAATTTTGTGGCAGGCGGAGGTGGGTGGGGCGGAACACCCAGAGAGCTGCCGTTTACCTCAGGGACTCTGATGGGGGCCTCCCCACTCAGCAATCAGAGCCCAAATCATTTCAGCTGGGTCAGAAGGCGGAGTCCCTGGAGCAGCCCAGAGCACCAAACTGCCAGGGTCCTTGGACTCCAGCAACCCCCCGACAACAGACGGTGAGTGGGGAGGTGGGGCAGAGGGAAGTGGACGGAGCGTGGTCAGTTGCCACTCACAATGGCAAGACGAGGGCTAGGTTGGGATTATCGTTAAGACACCCTAGGGAGAGGGAGTTTTACCTCATAGAAAATGTTAATTAATTAATTGCTGGCTTTCCCAAGTGCATTCTGTCATCCCTTCTAATAAGTTCTCTTTGTTGTAAACCTCAGGAGTCAGTGCTTATGAGTGGGGAAGTATTGCCTATCAAGGGTGCCCAGGGTGGTTTACATAGTTACCCAGGTTTCTGGGCGGGGGATCGAGCTGGTATTATTTACATTTTCCAAAGGAATCCCTAGAAAATTGAACCTGGCCTGTTTTGCTGCTCACAGCACCTGGCAGAAGGGTTCCATACAAGACCTGGAAACTGACTTTTTACCTCCCCCTTTTTGCCTAGGTATTAAGACATATAAGACTGTGGTTCTCAACCAGGCGTCCCCTGGGAGTATGCAGGGGTCTTCCAGGGGGTACATCAGCTCATCTAGATATTTGCCTAGTTTTACAACAGGCGACATAAAAAGCACTAGCAAAGTCAGCACAAACTAAAATTTTGCATAGACAATGACTTGTTTATACTTCTCTATATACTCTACACTGAAATGTAAGTATAATATTTATATTCCAATTGATTTATTTTATAATTATGTGGTAAAATTGAGAAAGGAAGCAATTTGTCAGTAACAGTGCGCTGTGACACTTTTATATTTTTATGTCTGATTTTGTAAGCAAGTAGATTTTAAGTGAGGTGAAACTTGGGGGTACGCAAGATAAATCAGACTCCTGAAAGGGGTACAGTAGGCTGGAAAGGTTGAGAACTACTGATATAAGATATTCAGGATCATCCATTGTTACATGGGACTGGGGTCATTACAAGGGCTGCCTTACTTTTCATTTGAGATGTGCCTGAGTATTTTGGAACCAAATCTTGAGGTGAAAGACATCAAATTTCAGGTGTCTAGGAGTACACCTATCTCTGATCCTCATGCTTCAAAACATAAACAGATTAACAGATGTGGAAAGGAAGAAACCTGCTTTGGTAGCGTGTTCTCTGTGTAGGTCTGTGAACGGCACACATTCCTCTGCAGTCTACAACATTGACCACCAGTGGAGATTGGATACTAGACCTAGTGTCAAATCTTTATGGGCTTAAGAGATCCATTTCAGCCGTGACATTGAATTTCCTGACAGCTGTGACAGACTTTTAATCTTATTTAAATGCAGAGGAATTTTCCTGTCTTAACACCTTTTTGTTTTTACATTAGTAAGTAATAGAAGAGAAAGGAAATAATAAATGTCTATCATACCCTTGACCAGCAAAGGGCTCTGAGACCCCTTCAGGCTTGCGGCCTCTCAATGGAACATTGACTGCATGGGAAATATGCAGTTCTGGAGTTCCTTTTTTGCAAACTTTTACCCTGAAGCTGGACCATTATCTGATGAACCTTCCCATCAATTTTTATATTCAAGTGGGGCTGTTGCTGTGACCATACCAAGGTTTGCACCAAAACCACGGATGCAGCCTTCTGCTGTTGACCAGAAGACGAGAGTCGGTCAATCCAAGAAGATCACCTAAAGGAGCTGGTTTTGTGGCATTATTATTGTAGGATTGCTTGTGAGCACAGGGTTGTGTGTGACAATTTGTTGCACTGAAAAAGCATTTTTAATAGCGTTGGTTGGGAATTTTTCAACCGAACGTTTTTCTATTTGAAAACGTTTCGTCAAAGCAGAAACTTTTTGTGGAAACAAATCGGCTTTGATGGCACAGGATGCACTTTCCAGTCAAAAATGGAGTAAAACCTGGCCTAGTGGTTTGGACCATTCATCTGGTAAGTGCTCTGGCCACTGGCTCTGCTGGTCTCTTTCTCTGCTTTTTCACAAATTTTTTTGAAAGGTCTCTGCTTTGAAACCTTTGTCATAATTTTTCCCAAAATGAAATTCTGGCTTCCAGCCAGCCCTAATTGTGAATGCCCTACATGGAATGAATTTGGTAGGCCTCAGCCCAGTTACCAGCAGGTGAGCTCCTACATCACCTGAGGCATTGCCACATTTGACATTAATTGGAACCATAGCTGCTGTTTGGATAAATCCAGGGCTGTCAAGCTGGCACCTTTAACTAGCACTAAACCCACTAGAGAAAAATCAAATAGAAATGACCTTCTCTTCACTGATTTCCCCTTGTTACTTCACCTCCCTCTCTCTGTTCATGCTGTGCTGTTCCATGCCTTCCTACCAGCTGTTTGTCACAGCCTCAAGCCTAGTGAATTGGCTGCGTTTAAACATCCTTGACAAGGCGCTACATGGCTGGCCTGAAGAACAGTAGATTATAGGTGGTGTTGATGCCAACCAGGTGTGTTTGAGACAGGGCGTCCGCTTGAAAGCAATGTAAATATTTGCCAGCAGAAAAGATGAGCCGAGTCTCTTATTGGATGGGGTTGGTGGGAGTGGGGGGAGGTTTCTAAGACCTGCTTTATGCCTCTGCCCATTATCTACATGGGAAGAAAACAGGAGGTTAGGAGACAGGCATGTGGCATAACAGAGACAGCTAAGCTGATGGGGAGGCAGAGCGCAATGGATGGAGCCCCATGTTTCTTAAATTAAAATGCAGATGCTGGGAGAGAAGAAGGACACTCTCAGGCAGTTGTGGTGCAAAGCCATATCACCCCAGGGGCCACGACTGCTTCTCCAGGAGCTGCTGCAGATTTGTTATTTTCTTTGGCTTTTCATTAACTTTCTTCCCCTACCACTCCCCGCAGAGCTGCAGGGTCCTGCGCTGGCTCCCCTTTCCGTCTTCCTGCGGCTGCAGAGAACTGCATGCAGGACATCAGAGCCTCTTCTGTTGCAGTAAGTGTCTAGCCTTCTGGCTGTGGAGGAAAAACTAGAAGAGGCAAA